CCTGCTTTACCAATAACAGACACCTCTTTATGTCATCCTTTTCCTTCTGCTTCTTCTCCAACTCCTTTTGTTTCTGCATCTCTTTCTCTATCTCCCTCAAATGGTGTCTCTTTTCAAACTCCATCTGCCTAAATTGGTGCATCTTTGCCAACTCCTCTTCCCTTTGCTGGTACCTCTTTGCCAACTCCTCTTCCCTTTGCTTTACCATTTCAGCTAGTGCTGCTTCTTCCTTACTCCTAGATTCTTTCAACTCAACAAGCAGCCCCTGGAACACCTTGACCATTGGGCTCTTACTCTTCTTGCTTGGGCTTGTGCCTGTGCTTACAGTGCTATTTGTTCTCTTGCGACTGCTACTGCTCATAGGACTTGCTAGGAACTCCTCTTCCTCTTGTTCCTCACCCTCCTGATCACCCAAGTCTTCCTCCTCAACTCTCTTGTGTTGAGTTGATGATCCTGGTATGACAGCAGCTTGACCGTCCACTATAATTCCTTTAAACATCTCTTCAAGATATCCAACATATGTAGGAACAAATTTCATGAATTTCTTACATTCACTTTTCCCCTGCAAAACAACAAACAAATTGAGATTCAACTACTGATGAATGTAGACATAGCATGATATGATAACACTACAAGGAAATTACCTGTAACTCTCTTTTCCACCATGCGGCTGATGCTATAATAGTGCCATCAGGTCTTCGCCCTAGACCGCTATCATTTTGAATCTTATTCCAAAAAGTGTACAAAACCTTGCACTGTGGCCATCTGTTCTTTAATTGTTTGATAGAAAGATTGATTCCAGTCTTTAATTGAAATCCTTTTTTAATGTTATTCCAACCTCTATGTGCCATTGTTCCTTTAACACAATTCCCTGCCCTTATTTCATCAACAGCAAGTTCACAGTAACAATGTGTGTTTTCCTCGGACCATTCAGCCCTACCATAAGCATTCTATAGCAGAAAACAAATTATCACACTAAGTATTGCAATGTCAGGGAACATATCACACTAAAGAAACTATTACACTAACAAATTCTCACACTAACTAATTTCCAAAAAAAAAGCGAGGCAGAAGTGGAGTATGATGAAAAGCAACTGAGGATAAGACCCTTCAAGAAGGCAGTCACAGGATGACAAGTTCTGTGAATGTCTGTTTCTTAACTTCTATTAGTAAATTAATTCCCATGACGTCAAGGAGAAGCTATCGGATTGGGTGCAAAAAACTCATGGAGCTTGACAAGATCAAGGGTGATCTTCAAGTTCGACAGCATAAGGGAAACCACCACCAGCTGCTTCATCTAGACCTTGGACAGAAGAAGGGTGTGGATCAGCCGGACCTAGATGTACTCCTTCAGCTGCTGCTCCAGTCTCAACAGGACCAAGTGAAGAATAGAGACATGGATAAATTTGGAGTGTGGTACCAAAAGGTAGCCAAGAAGCTTCGGGAGCATATTGAAGCAGATGCAAAGGCTGAAGAACAAACGGAAGAAAACAAAGAAGCTGTTTTAGGGAACAAACGGCCAGCAAGATTAGAATCTGTCATCAGATCGCTTGAGATAGTTAGCATTTGAAAGTGAAACAAATAGAAGGCCTATCAGAAAATCTGAGACAAACCAAAATTTCTTATTCCACAGAAAGGAACATATACAATTTCTTATTTTTAAGAAAGGAACATATACTACATTCCACAGAAACAAATGCTATCCTTAGTGTGTTCATATTTATGGAGCCTAAGAAAATATCATACTGGAAACTTACATTTGTCTTCAGTTTATAAAGTATTAAGCAATATCATCAAATTTTTACTTCATCCTTCAGAGTGGTAACACAAACATATACCTAGGCAAACTATGACTTCATTTTTTTCAGTTATCAATACGCTGGAACCATGAATACACATATACCCAGGATAGTGACAAAAAAGAGAGTCAATGCATGCACAAGTACATCACTAATTATCACAACTCACTATCTACATCCACAAGTACCTAGCATACATTTCACTTCCATATGGCAACCATACATTTCATACATAAGAAGAGAAGCATTGACCATGTATAGGCAATTACCTGAGACTGTGTTTCAGATGGCACGTCGTCTTCCATGTCACCAGCATCTACATCCACTGGATTGTGAAAGGCATGGCCTGCAGAGGAAGATGCAGGCCGTCCTCCTCCCAAATGTCCTACACCGCGACCGCCAATACTCCCTCGAAGCAAACCTTTGCCTTGTCCACATCCAAAACCAACTTTGCCTCCAAGCAGACCTTTGCCTGTAGAGAGAATTCTTTATTTGACATTGGGAAAATAAGTCGTTCCTTTTTTGGTCCTGAAATTTTCTTCGTTCCTTATTTGACACTCACTTCAACTTTCATCCCTAATTTGACACTGCCGTCAAATCCGTTAGCTAACGGTGTTAACTGGCTGTTAAAAAGACCTTTTTGCCCCTAGAAAAAAAACGGCGAAGCAAATTTGAGAGGAAAAAAAACCTGCGCCTTTTTTTGCAGCTGGGCGCATGCATCAGAGGCGGGCGTAGGTTTTTTTTTCCTCTCAAATTTGCTTCGCCGCTTTTTTTCTAGGGGCAAAAACGTCTTTTTAACAGCCAGTTAACACCGTTAGCTAACGGATTTGACGGTAGTGTCAAATTAGGGATGAAAGTTGAAGTGAGTGTCAAATAGGGAACGAAGAAAATTTCAGGGCCAAAAAAGGAACGACTCATTTTCCCAGTGTCAAATAAGGAATTAACTCTTGCCTGTACCACGACCTCCGCCATCAGGTGCTCGGACTCTGCCTCTAGGAGCCCGAGGAGGTAGTGGATGCTCATCACCCTGTAGAATGGCTTGGTACGAGTCAATGTTGGGGAAGACGTCCGCCTATGAATTGAGATCCAAATGCTCCATGTGGCGGCGGGGAGCGGACAGGGAGGGGGCCGGCTGCGAAAAGAACGGGCCAAAGTCGTCTTCGTCCGCATCTTCCTGAGATGAGCGGATACTACCTACACCGGAGGAAGAACCTTGGGATAGGTAGTCCCTGTAATTATACTTGTCCATGGGCACGCGCGTGGCCGGGTTGGGGGAGGGCACATCCGGTGGTGGGGAATGGCACGGGGAAGGAACCTGCGCACAAAAATAGATGAGCAAAGGGAAGCACAGAACACTACATCGAGAAGTAGAGGGAAGAAACTGTGGTGGCAAACTGGCAAAGTTACTGCCACCAGCAACAAAGTTTAAAAGTAACCCGTCAGGTAAAGGACAACAAACTTTTAGCATATGCAAACGACATGAACCTGGTAGGATCCTGAAAACAAATTCTATTTTGAAGTACGAATGATATGTGATCGATGAGGTGAATACATAAGCGTAGGATCAGGATCAAGATCATATACTGACCTGCGAGTTACAGGCTACATATAGGTCTATAGGATTACATTACAGCGCCTATTAACAACCAACCAGCTCATGAAACCATATGAATTTCGCTGATACAAAGCAACTGAATACACATCACTGCTAGGCTAAAAAAAGTCGTAATTACAGCGATTCAGAGCAGAGCTTGCAACTCGTCCAAATTACATTCAGATTTCAGAGTGTGTCGGGCAGAGATTCAGATTAGCGCGGTGCACCGCGTTCAACATTTCAGCACTGGTCGAAATTACGAGCGAGGGTACATGGCAACACAGTAGAACAACTGCGCGGTGCATTGCAGTGTCCTTGACAGTTGACATTGACACTACCAGCTCTGAATGATCATAGTAACACACGGATATGAAAACAAACGCCGAGAAACAGCAGGAAAGTAAGCACCGGCAATCAGATCGAGTGCTCACCACTCAAGGATGCACTGGAGGTGGAACTCGTGTGCAGCTGGTCACCTGCGCAGCGCAGACAAATAGAAGAGAGTCGAGAACTTCGGACGAGGCGGGTGGTGGTGAGTTCTCTCAAGAAGACGGAAGCAAAGGCAAAGACGCATCATGGAGGGGTCGGCGTCGGAGAAGGCCTCGAGGCAGGCAGCAGAACTGCCAGCGCAATCATCGCGATCGTTACACGAATTCAACCGGCCGGCCCCCTCCAGTCCCCATCATCTATCGGGAACACAAGAGAATACGACACCCAAAAAAAGGACAAAAAATCTCAGCGCGGTGGAACTAAAATCTGGGGATGACGGAGCAGCAGGCGGCAGCGAGACAGATGGATACGGAGCTGGGATCGGCAGACGGCAAACCAAGAGATCGGGAGGCGAAGGATCCGGAGGCACACCTCTGGTGTTGCTGGCGTGCTGCCTTCCTCCGCTTGGCACCATTGGCAAGGTGAATTATGGCCGATGCAGATGCGGAGTGAATGGCGCTGGGCGGCGGGGGAGGGCACGGGCGGCGTCGATTTTGCGGCGGGGGAGCGTCCGTCCGCTGGTTCTTCGCCGCGGAAAACGGCGACGACGGCGGATCCGGCGGCGGACCGGAGGGGGAGGGCGCGGACGGCGCTGTGTGGCCTCGGACGCCGGCGAGGAGGGCGGATCTAGCGGCGGCGGGGATGGGGCGACGGGGGTGCACAGGGTGGAACGGGGGCACAGGGTCCAAAGGGAGGCGCGGGAGTAGGATGCGTGCGGTCGGGAGGGGCAGTGGGGGTCCAGGATGGGTTTAGGAGCTTTTAGGAGGGGGCGGAGGTCCTAAACTTTTTCGATCCTCCTAAACGTTTTTTTGAGCTTTTAGTCGGTACCGTTTGGTTCTTTAGGCAGTATTTACGGAGACAGTATTTACGGAGATTTTAGCTCCTAAAAATTTTATGAAGGAGAACTAAACGGGGCCATACTAGTAGTGAATAAAGAGAATCAGCTTCGAGCTCCCGAGCAATCAAATCCTCCGCGCTTCTCGGTCGTCCTACTAGTACAGCACAGGCGGGCACGCGATCGCACCCACTCATATCGCGACAAAATCCCCAGACCCCCACCGTCCCAACTCCCAACGCCCTCGCCCGTGCTCGCAGTCGCAGTTGGTAGGGTTCTAGCCATGGCGTGGAGCGCCGCCGCCGTCTCAAGGTTCGCCACCACCTCCCCGGCCGCGGCACCCATCTCCGTCAGGCTCGGAGCCGCCGCCTCCCGCTCCTCCCTGTCCTTCTGCAGGGAGCACCGCCGCCCCGTCGCCGCGTCCCTCTCGGCCTCCGCCACCGGTACGCCTCTCGCTCCCCCCTGCCGCCAACAGACGCGCGGATTGCTAGTGGTTTCCTTGCACTTACTGTTTATCTCGTCGTATCGGGGGGAATACGTATTGTTTGTAATGCGAAGCTGCGAATTTAGCCATCCTTTCTTGTTTGAAAACGGAGGATGGATTGCTGCAGCGATTCGATTGTAGGGGCTGCTAATCCATGACAACAATTAGATACATATGTGCAATGCTGAATTTGCTGGTTAGCATTTTCTGTCGGCATGAAAAGGCGATAAAGTTTGCATCATGCAATGAGAAGTGCAAGCTTACTCATCGTTAACCAATAAATAGAAAAAAGCTATAGATTGCTGATCTGGCTGGATGGTCACTTGTTCAGTGCGTATGACACTAGCAATGTCCAATATAAGCATAAATAATGATTTAAATGTCCAAAGGGAAAGCAAAGCAATGAGGGTTACTTTCTGGTATCAAGAGGATTAGAGGATTCTTGAATGTGCTGGGATTTGGTAACAAAGCGCACATAAAAGTTTCTGGTGTTCATATAGGTCGGGAACCCGGGATACACATGGTTCTATGTAAGAAACTGCTCTCACAAGTGCTGAATGATTACTAGTATTTAGTAGTGACAGTTTGCTAGAAGAGTGCAATACCTCTTTAAAATGCTATTAAGCGTCTATTATGCTGCTGAAAATTTTCGTAATCCCTTATTTGTCACTGAGAATCACGAAATTAAATTTCAGTGGCATAGAGAGTCCACCCAAGCAATCTTAGCACAGTATGAAAATGCAGTTAAGCTGAACAGCAATTGCTCACCTGACCTGATGTTTTCAAACATAAAAGAAAGGAACTGGACTAAAGGACAACTACAAACCCAAAACATAATCAACATGGTTTATGAGTTGTGAGTTGATGCTATTGAACAAATAAACGAAACTAGTTCTTTCTCCTACAGTCCTACACATGGCAACTTTGCAGGGCATTTGATTCTCACTTGAGGGGGAAGTCTAAAATAGAATGTGAACATCTTGGACCATTTCATATGCTATAATGATAAAAAGGGCGTACCTAGTGCAGAGAGCTCCCGCTCTGTACGGGGTCTAGGGAAGGGTGTAAGTGGCAAGCCTTACCCTCGCTTGTGCAATGCGAGGAGACCGCGACTCGAACCCGGGACCTTCTGGTCACAGGCGGTAAGACTCTACCGCTTGCACCAGGCCCGCCCTTCATATGCTATAATGATAATTTTGGGAAATTCTGTTTAGCTGTAAAGGAGGCTGTTCAGACAGAGAAGGCACCGGCAGCACTAGGCCCTTATTCTCAGGCCATCAAAGCAAACAATCTTGTGTTTGTTTCTGGAGTTCTTGGCTTGAATCCTGAGGTTTGCTTTTGGACTGTTGTTCTACCATTTTGTTGTTTTTTTCTACATCGCTTGTATCGGCTAGTTTGCTGGTTGTAGGTGATGACACAACTAATGCGCCTTTCTGTTTTCAGACCGGGAAGTTTGTCTCTGAAAATGTTGAGGAGCAAACTGAGCAGGTGAAAACTTTGATTCCCAGATGTGAATATATATCATTTGTGACTCAGTTTCTCCGTTGTTCACAGTATCTATTAATCTGGCATAAAAATACACATCTCAGACATCTCTGTTAAAATAATTAACATGATTCACTCATGCTATATAAAAACCTATCTGCAATATTTTAGAACTTTGATACTGAATCCTCATCTGCTAAATGCAGAAATGGAATATCCTGTATGACATTCTGCAGGAACATAAGTTGCCTTTTCAAGTTTGTGTTCAGAAAAAAAGTTGTCTGGTGTATCTTCTGTAACATACTTTCTTTGTCACAGGTTATGAAGAACATGGGCGAGATATTGAAAGCAAGTGGTGCTAGCTATTCTTCAGTTGTGAAGACAACAATCATGTAAGCACATGTTCTTTACATGGGTCAAGGGACTTCTGTTTTACTCAAGATATTTTGATCTCTCCAGGTGTGATTCTATTCTTTTTACCCGCAGGTTGGCTGATCTGCAGGATTTCAAGAAAGTGAACGAGGTCTATGGCAAATGTATGTTTGGGCTGTGTTATCCTTCCTTTCCTAGTGCTGTAATTCCATTCTTTAACCATGGAGCTGTGAGAGTGCTTTCGTTCAGATTACCATCATCAGATTCTCGATGTCATATCCTTGTTTTTTCCTTTTTATGAAGATATTGCGTTCTTGCTGCAGATTTCCCGGCGCCTGCGCCTGCACGTTCAACCTATCAAGTGGCAGCGCTACCACTGAATGCCAGGATCGAGATTGAGTGCATCGCTGCACTCTAATCAGATCATTCAACCACTCATCAAATCATCAATAATCATTCCGACCTTGCCTATGTAGTCCTTCACTATCCTGGAAATCACTACCTCGACGAATTCGTGGTACAAGTACTTGTAGCGTCTTCCAAGTGAGATCTTTGTACCAGTTGAGGTCCAGAAAACTGCGGGTAATAAACCTTGTGTCCAGGATAGCTGATGTGTGTGAGAACAGTGCATCTGGTAGGAGAATTGTTGGCTGGTTCGTAACTCAAATTCTTCGCTCTTAGATAAGACTAGAGTACCATGGCAACAACATCTGTAACCTATCGTTTTCTTCATAGGAACGCATTGGCCTAAATTTTATAAGACACTTATTAAGGCTTTGTTTGGATGCATGTGTATCCACCTCAATCCATATGTGTTGAGTGAAATAGAATGTAATTTAGTTTAATTTCACTCCAATCTATTTAACAAATATAGATTGAGATGGAATACATGCGCATCCAAACTAGTCCTGCAGCAACGTTCTATTCAGTCCTCACCAAAATCACTTCTCACCTACTAATGTTGGAAAATTAAATAAGAATAATTTCTCTACTTACGTTGGGGAGTTAAAATAAAACTCTTCCTACCCAGTCCTCAGTCCACCAAAATCACTTCTCACCTACTCTTCACTTCGCTTCTCCCACCAGAATTATTCTATCAGAGAATTAGGAAGCTCTTATAAGAGAGAGAGAGAGAATTAGCAAGCTGGAGCTACTAATCAGACTTCGATTCCGTTATCAGTTTAGCAGCAGCCACCTGTCTGTTGCTGCCCCCAGCCCCCCACACTGGTGCTACGAGCCCACAGCGCGACCGCGGACTCACCGTCGCCACCAAGCCGCCGCCGCCGCTCGACTGTTCTGGTCCGTCAGAAGGTGCTCCTCCCTCTCCCTATCATCCCGTATTCCCGTCCCATTTTTTGTACGCATTGGGTTGGACATTTTGGGTTTTTGGTCCTGTGCCATATCGTATTCAGTGCGCGCGGTTCTATCGGCTTCCAGATTTTGGTGCCTACGCAGGCGGTCATGGGTTCAGATCTTAACGGTTCCGTTAGGTGCGTGGTTCTATCCGGCGCATGTCCTACCAACTAGAACATTGCGGTTCATCGAATTCTGAAAAGTTAATCAGTTCAATTTACTTACAATTGGCTACGCTACATACAAGTTGTTTGAAAATTCGCACCATTTACAGGTTCTTTGTATAGTTCTTTTCTTTCTTCTTTTTGGCATCTCATATAAATGAGATACAAAATTGGGTCGACTAAACTTACAAATTATTATTTGATAGTGTCTCTCCTGTACTGATACGGATCTTTTAAATAGTTGCAAGCATGTGATAATTATTATTTTTAAATGGATTATGGATTGGTTCAGATGAGTGATTACACAAGCACAAAGTGAATTTTGCTTCTTGCAGTGGAATGCCTAAGAAAAAAAAAGTTTGCCACTCTACTTCCTTCCTTGAAGTAAAATTCTGTTTTTCTAATGCAACACTACATTTGGTGTATGGATATCTTGCTTTGTAATTTCTGTTGTGTACAAGTTTATTCAATTTTGTAGGTTCTGTGGGACTATTAACTTGCTTATCTTCAACATTAACCTATGTAAGGCAATGCTTACCACCCACAGTACCAGCAAGCTACAGCTAGTATGGAACGCTATATCCTGCGTACTGCTTCTCTACGCTTTCATCACTTTTGATTCACCACATAAGATCTGCCACAGAAAGAGACCTTTCAACTTCACAACATTGGTCTCTAGGTCACTGCATGAGATCCACGCCAATTCAAGACCTGTTCACGAGTATGTTCTGTTCTAATTTGTCTTTCAACATGCTCTGTACTATCTATTTTCTGTTTTGATTTTGATAATGTTTTAGTAGGCTTCAGATTTGAACTATTGTCCTTGTGGCTAACCTGAATTACAGAAAGGTGGTCACTGGACAGAGGCTGGCAGAAAACACCCAAAACGTTACCAACATTGCTACACCTACGATGTGGATGGAGCATTGTGAAGAAAGAGTTCACATTTCCTGCTAGGAGTGCCCCTTTCAATAGCTGTCATGCTTCCACTATTGTACAGGTACATGGCCTCTGGATGTGATAGCATTTTAAAGAAGACTTGAGAATCACTCACATATGAAGTTTGTCCAAGCAGATTGATGAAGGGAATTTTTTGGTGGCATATTTTGGTGGATCTATGGAAGGTGCTCCAGATGTCAAAATCTGGTTGCAGAGATATAGTGTGGGTTCAATTCATCAAACATGCTTCAGTATTTTTTTACACCTAGAATAGCAGGATTTAGTTTTTACTAACAAACTTACATTTTTAGGATGGCCACTGGCATCCTCCAGTAGTGGCCGATGAACAATTGGGGGTGCCTATGTGGAACCCTGTTCTGTTTCAGCTTCCCTCTCGTGAACTGCTTCTCTTCTACAAGATTGGCCAAGAAGTCCAGAAGTATGAACTTTGTTTATGATCTCGGGCCCCTTATCTCTGATAGACCAGGCTGACCCAAAAAATAGATGAATTTGATGACCTGAGGCTAACTATAACTCATTCAGGTGGAGTGGTGCCATGAAAAGGTCGCTGGATGGCGGCCTAACCTGGTTACCAAGAGAGCAGCTGCCACTTGGTATCCTTGGTCCAATTAAGAACAAGGCATGTCAAAATTCGTGGTGTTTTGCTCTGTGTCACATCATGGCATAGCAGTTTTGGATTCTATGTTTTCTGCAAAACTAATTAAATTCCAAATGCAGCCATTCTTGCTTGAAGATGGTCGCCTACTATGTGGATCATCAGTTGAGAGTTGGAACTCTTGGGGTGCATGGCTTGAGGTATCCAGATGTTTCTCTGTTCTTTCTTTGAGAAATCATGTAGACGTTACTCCTATTCAAACTTGTCTGTCTTTGACCAAGTTTATAAAAAATATTATAACATCGATAATTGCACTATCAAAATATATTCTATGGTGTAATAGATCTAGTTTGATGTTGTAGATGTTTGTGCATTTTGTCTATAAACTTGGTCAAAACTAGAGTAGTTTGACTTAGGACAAAGTTGAAACGACTTACAATTTGGCATTCAGGGAGTAGTAGCCAGTGTTTCTTGCATAATGGCTCTGGCTTCTGATTAATCTTTATTAGCAAAGGTTACGCAAAACGCCGGCCGTACATGGAGAAAGTATGGCCCTATATATTGTAGACGGGCAATCACTTGGGGTGATTCAGCCAGTTCCCTACCGTACTGCAAATGGGATTATTCGAGTGCTGCTAAGATCATTTCAGATAATAGGCCGTGTCTGTATGGCTGATTCCTTTGATGGAGGTGTGACATGGAGTTTTGTGCGAGAGACTGAGCTTCCAAACCCGAATTCCGGTGAAGTTCCCTAAAGCCTTCAAGACATACATACAAATTTCTGAAAAATATTTGCTACCTCTCTATTTAGTATTTACATCTCAGGAGTCTGGACTTGAAACCTGAAGCGTATTGATACAACCGGATGCAGATTAAGGTGATTTCCCTGATTCACGCATAATGAAACAGTAATCTTCGCAGCAATAGCGTTTTTTTTTTTTTTGTGTGTGTGTGTGTGTGTGTGATTGCATTTTCTAAAGAGTCTTCTTGAATGCCTTGCAGCACATTGTTATCAAACCTGGTGCCACAGTGAAGTGATTCCGCAACTATGGGAGGATCATGGTTTGCAACATCGCCACATCGGGGCACTTAAACTTTCTCCAGCAGCTTTGTGTGACCATTTCATCATACAGGCTAGATTACCTGATTGTATTGTGCTTCTCGGTTGTTGCTGAAGAAACGTTTGCAACTACATTTTTAACAGGTGCTACATCCTTCCCAAAAAAGAGTGGCACGCTACGCTAGTGTTCAAAATTTGTTCCAGAAAGAGTGTCATTTTGCCCTCTGGACTAGTTAGGAAACCAACTACCAAGAGTGATTTTTGTAGGCACATCTTATACTTCTAAAATTATCAAAGATTTGTTGGAAATGGAAAGATGTACATGTGCACAGCTGTTCCTTATCTGGCAGTTCTATCCCTTTCTCTCTTGTCGTGCCGGTCAAACTATTGCGAGCTTAGCTTAACTGGTTGTGTACTTGTGTAGGAGGTGTGGTCATGTACTCCCACCTAGGTTCAAGTCTTTTTCTCTTTTTATTGAAGAAACTGCCTAGTTCCTCCTATGTTCGATCTTTTTTTTTTTTCTTCGGTTGAGCTCTTTTTCTGTGGTCAAATTCCAACATAAGAAAAAGATAACGATCATCACTACAGAACATCCAGAAAGAATAATGCATTTGTCTTGCTTAATTTTCTTATGAAGTGTACCGCTATGTCCCTAAATAATTGTCATTTTTATTTTTCGAAAAACAACTTTGGTTAAATATATATAAAAATAATTATTATTATGGTACAAAATTCATATTATTAGATAGATCATTGAATTTTTTCATAATAAATTTATTTAAAGATATAAATATTGTATGCATTTTTTACAAATCTAGTCAAACTTATGAGAAGGCAAAAAAAAAAAAACATATTTATGGACGGAGGGAGTTCGGTGCATTATAGGAGCTGAGCAAGAGCGTGTTTGGTTCGTTTTTTTTTTGGCACTAATAGAAATGTCATGTCAAATCACTCACTGTCTGTCGTCCCATTGAGTATTCACTCTCCCTCGTCTCTACTCTCCACCGTCATTCATTCCTGTCTCCGGAAGCTTGACCCGCAGACACGACTAGAGCAGTCACCGCGGCGTAGCTGCCACGTCTTGCCCCGACGAACCAACCGTAGCCCTCAACGCCGCCCCGAACCGCAGCGGCGCGACCCCATTCGGAGCCGGAGCAAGCGAAGCGAGCGCCTGGCTTCCACAACTTGCTAGCTGCAGCGCCGCCGGCCTGACCAACGCCCGAGCCAGCCGTGGGCGCACGGCCGCCGATTCCTCTGCTGGATGGTGATCCCTCTCCCCCTGTCGTTTCTTTTAGGCCTAAATGGCTAAATGGGTAAGGTCAATTCGTGGATATTGCTCGGGTTACCCGTAATCCCGCCGTGTCTTCGTAGTAGGTGGAGTATCGATATGTGTGTGTGTGTCCCTGTTGAAAGAATTCTTCGATTCTTCTTCTCTTTGAAATGATGAGGACGGTATTCTTGGTGGTTGGTGTAGATGGAAATGGAATGCCCTCAAAAGACTGATTATATGCTATGCACATCAAAGCGATTTTGTGGTACACTGCATGCGAAGCAGTGACCGCTGCCAGCAATGCATCATGTTGGTTCGCTTCCTAATGCGAACATGAGTTCTTTTTCTTATGGCAGTTGTGATGTGATGGGGAGTTGGTATCCATTTTTAGGCCTTGGATGCGTATGTATTCATCTCAATCCACATGTGTTGAAGTGGATTGGAGTGTAATTGAACTAAATTTCATTCCATTCCACTCCATCACACGTGGATTGAGTGAATACACATGCATCCAAACGAGGCCTTAGGATATAGCTTTTTCTTCCTGCAACAGTAGGGCGTATCTGAAATCCCAAGAAAAGAAATTGTTGGCAGTCTCCAATCTTCTGTTCCTTGAAGCGATTCTGAAAACTTGGCTAGTGGATATGTTATACTTGGAATTGCAAAGGCCGTCTTATATGGCTTACTTATCTTTAACGTTACCCTGTTGCAGCCTTGTAGGGACTAGGGACACACTTGACGAGGTTACAATACGTGTGGAACGCCATACCCTTCATCCTGCTATTTTCTGTTGTCCTCTTTATTCCTGTATCAACACATAAAATCGTCTCCAACAATAAAACTTTCAACTTCACCATAGCATCTGCTAGTGCTAGGTCGTTGCTTGAGATCGGCCCCAGTTCAGGACTTGTTCAGGAGTAAGTTCTAGCTTGCCTTTCACAGGAAACTAGATTTTCCTTTACTTTATGTTTAATGGACTTGGTAATTCATCTTTGGACTTCATTGCTAACCTGAATGACAGCAAGGTGAAAGTTGGACAAAATTTGGAAGAGGACACCCAAAGCATTATCAACATGACTATGAATATGACGTTTGGGTGGTGCGTTGTGAAAGAAGAACTCATATTTCCTGCTGGAGGTGCCCCTTTCAGTAGTTGCCATGCTTCTACTATTGTACAGGTATATGGCCTTCAGATGCAACAGCATTTTGGAAAATCGAAATTATTTACATGTGAATTTTGACTTTTCAGGTTGACAAACAAAACTTTTTGGTAGCATATTTTGGTGGATCCAGGGAAGGTGCTCCGGATGTCAAAATCTGGTTACAGAGATATAGTGTGCGTTCAACCCATCCAATATACTTTTTTTTCTTCTTCTCTGTACCAAGAAGAGCAGTTCTTACTTGGAATACTACATTACTACATTTGTATAGGATGGTCACTGGCATCCTCCAGTGGTGGCTGATGAACAAGATGGGGTGCCCATGTGGAATCCTGTTTTGTTTCAACTACCCTCTCGTGAGCTGCTTCTCTTCTACAAGATTGGTCAAGAAGTTCAGAAGTAAGACCTTTATTTGTGACTATTGATCAATTATCTCTGATTGAAGGAACGCAATGATCTGATGCTGAACATTACTTGTTCAGGTGGAGCGGTGCCATGAAAAGATCGTTAGATGGCGGTGTAACCTGGTCACAGAGAGAGCAGTTACCTCCTGGCATCCTTGGTCCTATTAAGAATAAGGCATGTATAAATGTGGTGTTTTTCTTTACCTCACATCTTAAAACAAATTTCCATTAGTTTTCTGTCCCTTCCATTATGATGTATGTTCTCATAGTAAGATGGAACCTAATGCCAACTTCTCCAAGGCAGCCTTTCTTGCTTGAAGACGGGCGCCTACTGTGTGGATCATCAGTTGAAAGTTGGAATTCTTGGGGTGCATGGCTTGAGGTAGTCACATGATTCTTTTTTTTCAGAAATTCATGTAAAAGTTGACATAAATTCTATCTAGCACTGTGCAACATGGTTCTATGTTCTAACATCCTTTTATAAACAAAGGTCACAAAAGATACCGGACGGACATGGAGAAAGTATGGCCCTATATGTATAGAAGGTCAATCACTTGGGGTGATCCAGCCAGTTCCCTACCGGACTGATAATGGGACTATTCGAGTGTTGCTACGATCGTTTGATACAATCGGACATGTCTGTATGGCCGATTCCCTTGATGAAGGTGTGACATGGAGTTATGTCCATGAGACTCAGCTTCCAAACCCAAATTCTGGTGAGCCTAATGAGCTTTCTGCATGATTCAGTAGCCTTGTAACAGTAATATTTAAAAGGATTTTTCAAGACCACAAAAGCACCATCAGTGTGGTGGTGGAGTTGTGAGTGCATGACTCCACCCACCAGGAAATCCTGGTGTGTACTTATTTAGATGTTTGTGGAGTTTAATGGTTGTATGCATCCTTCGTTGGTGAAGAGGCCAGAATATAAACTTCTTTCATCTAAAAAGGCCCGTTAGGCATTAGGGACCACCAATCGATGGTTTGATGTTTCAGAAAGTTCTAAGACGTGCTTATGAGTTTTCAAAGAATATTTGCTAGCTCTCACTTTTCACCTCTGGACGGCACACCTGAAGGAATTGATGGGGTTAAGATGAAGGATGGAAGAGTACTGCTTGCCTACAACACCTTCTCCAGAGGAACGCTCAAAATTGCAATCTCCTCAAACGACGGCGATTCATGGGATGAAGTAATGACACTAGAGGATACCAAAGGTATGGAATTTTCATACCCTGCAGTGATCCAGTCTATGGATGAGCTCATACATGTTACCTACACATACAATCGGACACAGGTTAAGGTAAACATCTCTAATGCATACACTAATTTTCTAGCCACAATAATTTTTTGTTGGCGCACCTTGTAAAGAGTATTCTTGAATTCTTTGCAGCATGTTGTTCTTCAACCTAATGCAATGGTGAAGTTGTGAGCCTGCAATTGATGGAGTCCTATGGCTGGCAGCTTCAGGACACTCAAATTTATCTCCAAATATTTAGGGTGGCCATTGCATGGTATTGGCTAGATTGTGCTCAGTTGATGTCAAATAAATGCTTTCAGGTACTACTTAATGGACCTTTTCCGAGGTTCATCTAATAAAGTATATACTATTTAAAATGTTCTGCTCCATTCTTGTCTCGGTTTGTTGATCAATTTTACTTTTCCTTTGGTTGTGCTTTGCCTTTCATGCTTTAGGACTCCTTTGGAACACAGGAATTTTACAGAAACCGTGTAAGAATTTCACATGAATCAGTTTATTGTCAAAGAAAAACGCAAGAAACAGGAAAAAAACCGCGTTCCAAAGCGGGGCATGAACTTGTGTCATGGTAAATGTGTTTCTAGGAAGCATCCATGTAACCGGGTACCAAAATTGTGAAACCTGTTATTTATCCGGGATATGCCAAGCCACGCACCTCAGATTGTGAAGGGAACTTTGAAGTAACACAGGAATCTGTCGTCCGCGCGCGCACTCTGTGTGAAATATTCGAACATCAGTTGAACTTGATCCCGAGACGCGCAATTCTCAAAGTGAAGCTCTCTCTCCGGCCTTAACCAAACGAACATGCAGGCCAGCCCGGGAGAGTTTCCCTCCCTCGGCTGGATTGGATTAATGTGGGTTGGGCCGCCGGGACGGCCCCTTGCTTGTCGAGCCTGTGTGTACTGTTCATGTGAAACATTACGGGTTATCACTTATCAGGCGAGTCCTTTTTTTTAGCTACGTAGGTTAGATAAAAAAATAATTTCACAGCCATTGTTCATGAGATGATCAAAACTGAGCTGAGCCTGAGCTTCAGCCGCCTTAGCACTAGTCAATTTTTGTGGCCGCTTCATGTCCACGATTATCATATGCAAAGTTACAGTACGTATAAAAAATACTCGGTACAAAAGTTGCGAGTGAAGCTAATGAGCTTGCATGCCGGCTAAGAACGTTATTTATTTATATTATATACTTACTTACGGAGTAAAGCACTTTGCTTTTGCCAGCGTCATTCTTACACCCCTAGCCGCCCCCTAGGCAGTGTGTGTGTACTGAGCACGTGACCAGCTTCGGGAACTCGATCGGGAAGCTAGTGCGAAACTTCCTGTTTACGCACGTGCAACAAGTAGGGGTCCCCTAGCAACAAGACACGGCTGCTGTGAACGCACAAAGTGACAAAACAGTGACACGTTGACAGACACAATGGTAAATGTAATGTAATGTCGACATCGTAGCGACATTTACTGTTTAGTTTTGACAAATTATTAAAACGAAATAGATATTTTAGGTCTGTCATATCATATATGTAAATAGTAATATAGTATCATCAGCTGGAATATCTTTGTACGTAATAATTGTCGCCGTTTGGCACAACTTCACCAATAATTTCATGAGTTGTTGTGAGCTATCTTAGTTAAATACCTTTTTTCAAACGGTAATGTTGTCTACCGAGCGTCCGTCCAGCCGGACGCGCGTCTTCACTGGGCCTACGGACCAGGTCTGATCGGCCTATTATATATTAAAAATAATCTGGACGCTTCCCACCGGATGGAACCACCTCGTGCCGCGCGCCCCTGCGCCTCGCGTCGGACCCGCTTTGCGCCACACGCCCCTTCGCCTCACGCCTCACGCCGGACCCGCCTCGTGCCGCGTGCCTCGCGCTCTCCGCCGCTCGCGTCAACGAGCCTTCATTGGGCGGCGACAAGTAGATGAGCACATGGTGCAACCATATATTTTATGAGTTTCACACATATGTTACAAGTATATGTTTCAAATGTTTCAGCTGTTTCAAATGTATGTTGCAAGTGTTTCATCTGGATGTTGCATGTGTTTGCCAGTGGCTATACACGTATGTTGCAAATGTGTTTCCAAATGTTTCAGCTAGTTTCATCTAGATGTTGCATATGTTGTAGTGGCTATACATGTACGTTGCAAGTGTTTGTTCCAAATGTTTCACCTATTTTAGACGTATGTTGCAAGTGTTTTATATAGATGTTGCATATATGTTGCACTGGTTATACACATATGTTGCAAACGTATGTTTCAATTATTCCATCTGGTTCCAGTATGTTGCAGCAGGTGCTCCCCACACACTCTGACTCGCGGGCACGCACACGCCGCACGTACCCATCCAGCGCTGCCTATCTCTGTCATGTGGGCCAACTCCAATAGTCGGACGTGCACGCAATGGGCGGTAAGTGCTCAAATGGCCGAGCACTCTGTGGTCAAAGTGCATGTGTGCATGTAGAGTGCTAGAGCATGCCAGTGCTCAATGAACGTAGAACCAGACGCCCCTGCACCACCAGGCTTGGTCCCCCACGGTGGAGCATGCATCCTAGGTCAACACGGGTACGCGCGTTGTGCTCCCACCCTCTCTCGCATGTAGCTAGACAGGCCCCATGCACATGCTCTCCCGTGCAGGCGAAGCAGCAACACGCGCAGGGCGCAAAGCACGTGGACAGACGTAGCAACCCAGCAGGCGCGGGGCACAAAGCATGCGGGCAGGCGCAACAACACGCGGGTGCGTGTGCGTTCGGACGTCCGGGTGCTAACGTGGCCCTTTTTCAAAACAACTTCATGGGTGAAGCTCTTTTTTATGCTCTCACAAAGGAATGGGGAGAGGTAAAGCTAAAAAAAAGTAGTTTTTCTCTCCACCATGCATGAAGTTATTGATAAAGTTGTTTTATCAAACAGTTTTTTTTAAAACAACTCAGCTTCACCAACAGGTTGCTCGTGAAGTTGCTTTTAAAAAAACAGCTTTACTAATGAAGCTAAGCTGTGCTAAACGCGGCTTGTGTAGATGCTCATCAATCGAACAATTATGACAACCCTGCAAAGTTGCGAGAAAAACTAATCATACCTGGCTAGAAAAAACAGTAACCATAAACTAAAGTAACTAGTTAACTAGTAGTTCTCTCATCTCTTTATATGTAAGCTTGTTTGTTATGATTGTTCATGATCGAATGGTAGACTTTTCCTTCAAACCAATAAGAAAGGTGTAGAGAGAGTAATTAAAGAAGTATATATGCATGTGACGGTGTACATGGTGGATGAAGCCATGCATGTGTTTGTCAATTCTATTTGAGAGTCGCCGTAGATCTTTTGCATTGGCAAACCATGTGCCATGCCATTATGTAGTCTAGTCCTTTAAACAAAAACAATTAGCTCGGAGTTGTACATGTTTCTCCTTTTGATCAGCGTGGCAGATTAACAATTGGCGTTCGATATACTTTCAGTTCCAACATGCCTTTTCTTGTTCCTGTTGACTTTGTACTCATCAGAATTATACGGCGGAATAGCATGTGCATGCATACTCTTTCACAAATAAATAAACAGATAAAAAAGTGAACATATGCTCATATACTATTATTAGTATACATGTATGCGCATATCCTGTAGCATGTAAAGCATGAGCACGATCGAGATGTTGGTTGTACAAACCGAAGCAGACCTGTTTCTATCCAAAAGGATCCAGATAAATACCAACATATCTTGCTTTGCAGATCCGATGAGATCGCCCTTTACACATATGCATGTAATGTAATTGAAGCATCAAACTTTAGAACAAGCTGTTGCGAGCAGAGACACAACTTACTCCCGAAAGATAGACAAAACACCATGTTGACTACCCGCAGAAATACCAAAAGAACAGTGTTAAGTGGAGTGCGTTTCCATGGAAAAAAATAAAGGCACTGCAAAAGCCGAGCAATTAACATCCATGCCATACCTTTCCATGCATGCTATATATGTACCAGTGAATATTCGTCCTGAAACAAACTTAGTTTATAGTGAGTAGTGACACAACTTACTCCTAAATTAAAACAAGGACAAGCACCTTGACTAGACGAAGAATATCAAACCCTAGCAAGTAGAAACATAGCTGGATCCATATGTATGATTCATAAGCGCAAAAGTTCTCTAAGCCAAATGACACTTTTTCCAGCTTATTCTAGCCACACTTATTTCTGCAAGCCTCATTTGTATGTAATAAAAATTAGAAGCTGGGTTAGACCTGTTTATTCACCGTGCTTTTGTTATATTTGTGCAGCTTCTCTAGAAAACATTTTCCTCGGAGAAGCTACATTAAACATGACCTATATACTATATCCCAATAATTAGATAATGCGATGACGATGCAAAAGCAAGTAATAACAACATCCATAATCATATGTATTTGTTCTAAATCATAGCTGACTAACTTCATTTTAAGCCGAACTTCTCTTACTCTAGTCAACTTCTTAGAAAAATATATTTGTACCTATGGGTTCAAATAAATATACTGTCGAACTAAGATATGTCTCGTAAATAATTTAATAAAATCTATTCTGAAGTTACAGGTGTTGATGTATTTTTCTATGAATTAAAAATTTAATTTAAAACAAAGTTTGGAGTAGCCTGTATAATTAGAACGGAGTGATGACTTTCAGTTCATGTGCGATATATATCTCTTATTATCAAACCGGGAGACTTTGGCCGCCAACCAGGGTGGCCACGTCGCCCGAAATTCCCCGTGGCCATCCAATTATCCGATCGACGGCCCGTGTTGGCTCCGCCCCTCGCTACAGTACGCGCCCGCCCGCTACGAAGCCCTCGGCGGCTCTCCCTGACCCCGACGCCCTCCTCCTCTCCGCTCTCTCTCTCTCCCCCCTCTCTCTCTCTCTCTCGCGCTCCCGACTTGCGACGCGGCTCAGGCGACGGCACGGGACGGCCTCGGCGGTGGCCCGCCCACCGCGCGGCGGTGGCCTCCCTCCTCCTTCTCCTCCTCCCCCTCCTCCACCACCACCACGCCACTTCCTCCTCACGACGCAACGCGGCGGGTCGCGCGGCCTAGGGTTTCGCCCCTCCATCGCCGGTCGTCCCCATGGCCGCGCGGCCAGCCAGCGGACGCCCTGACACGCCAGAGGCCTCTGGCGGCGGAGGAACCTCCGTGGTGGCCGTGCATGACGACGGGGAGG